GTGAGGTCAGGTTCAGAGACCAGTAGCTATAGCAGCAGACCAACCAACAGGATAGGTAAACAAGCAGGTCACCCTGGGAAATGACGCAGGCTCACCTGAGGTGCGGGGTCTAAGCACTAACCGGTATTCACCAGAGCTCCTGATGGTGGAGATGGATTCTGCTGCATGTTAGTACCAGGTCGCAGTTCTCAGGATCACCCCACCAGGAAGTGAGCAGGCCAGGATCCTGTAGCAGATATGGCGCAGCAGGAGAGAAAAGCGAGATACTGGCTGGAGAAGGCACACAATAATCTGGCAACCAGGAAGTGCAGAGACATGGCTTAAATCAGGAAGTTCATGGGAGGAGCAAGGAGTTCAAGGTTCATCAGAAAACAAGGCACACGGCAGGATTAGATCAGCCAGAGCGTTGGCCAGCATCCTAGGTAGCTCAGTGAGAAGAGTTACTGCCTGACACAGTAGAGGTCCCTGGTTCAAGTCCAAGCCCTGACAGATTCCTTGATCCCTACCAAAACTTTCTCAAAATCTATCTTCCATCACCTTTTAAATGCAACCTGCATTTGCTTAAAATGGAAAGATACTATCAATTTCCCTGTAGTAGCATGAAGTTGACTAAATTTGTCACATGGAAGACCTTAAAAAAATGGTTTCATTTCAGTGCATAGCTCCCTGCTGCCACTCTGAAAAGTGCACAAGTGGTATACAGGTGGCGGATTCAGCCTGGGACACAGCAGGTCACATACACTGAGGGTTTGAATAAGGTTCAGCAGGGCAATAGTCTCAATATGAAGCTAGGAGCAAGAACACTGAGACATGACCAAAATGACTCTTAGAAAGTATTTTTCACTGAAAGAGTAGATGAGGCATAGAACAGAGTTCCAGCAGAGCTGGTGAGTTGGTCAATAGTAATTGAATTTAAAAATACGTAGGACAAATAAAGATCTATATTGAAACAACGAGTAATTTTAAAAAAAAGTATAGAAGATCAAAAACAGGTGTAAACTGGATGGGGCTTTTTTCTACTATCACTGTTCTGTTCTCTATGTTCATTAGCCCCTACACAATTGACTTTCAATTAACGTATATCTTATAGTCCTTGTGTGAAATTTAAAAGCTACTATAACTGAGCAGTTGAAGTGATGACTGGATAGCAGGAATACCTCATTCAAGACTTGTGCCAATAAGCTTTGGGTTGGGTTGTGGGAACCATTTTGATATGAGTCTGATACACTTCTGAGATCATTCAGAATTCACTGACAGTGTTTGACATGCAATTTACCTTCTTCTGACCTGCTTTTAATGGGTTTGTCATGCCCGGAGACTTTTACTGGAATGTAAAACCTATTTAAAGCGACCGAATGTGTATACTTTTTCAGAGATCATTAATTTTTGAGGTTATTGATTTATGAGCATATTTTGTTTCCTAAAACTAGAAATACATATGTGGACATTGGGATTTTGTGGCGTTTTTCTTTGAACCTTTGATACATTCCTAGCTGATGCATTTAGTGAACATTGAATGGCTCCTCCTGACCATTCTAAACATTTTCATTTCATTTTAACCCTATCAGACATTTCCCACTAGACTCATGTCAGCTCCTGTGTGCTACTCAAGAAATTGAATATAATCTTGTAATGTTTACTGACTATGGGCTGCATTCAGAAACCACTTTCAGGAATGTGACATAATTGCATTAAAAAAGCACCAATATAGACAAACCCTTAAAGCTCTATTGATTTTATGTTTAAATCAGCTAAATACATTCCAAGTGGGTAAAAATGAAAGGTGTTCAAAGTATTACAGTTCGTTTTCTTTATAAAACAGTCGCATCCTAAATAGAAAAGCCTTTCCACTGCCAGCATGCTGTAAAAAAGGACCTTTGCCCTGTGTGTAGGCGCAGTTGTCTGACATGCTCCCTTGCTGCGTCAGACCTATAGCTCTTCAATCTGCCAAGCTCATGCTCCTTACTGATAGGTGAGTTCTCACTCGGCCCATCATGAGGAATGTTGGACTTCTGCAAATAGACTACTGCACTGAAACACACAGCAAGGGTTCCTCTCTACAGCATGCTGGCAGGGGAAAGGCTTTTATACTGAGGCTGTGGCTGCTTTTTAAAGAAAATGAACTGTAAGACTTTGTTTTGATGCACCAAGAAATGCATTAAGCTGATATTATTATTATTAATAATAATAATAATAATAAAAAAGTGTTACTAAACCAAGGACCCTGCATTCATTATATCTGGTCTAATACAGTACACAGAACACAGAAGTGCCATTTACTTCCAAGCTCCTTCTACAATCGCCTAAGCGCCCACCTCACTGACAACAACCTCCTCGATCCACTACAGTCTGGCTTCCCGCCCCTACACTCCACCAAACCGCCCTACTCTCAAAATAACTAATGACCTGCTAACCGCCAAAACTAATGGCAACTACTCAGTCCTCTTACTCCTCAACCTTTCCGCGGCCTTCGACACAGTCGACCACCCCCTCCTCCTTAACAAACTACACTCCCTCGGCATCAGAGACTCCGCTCTCTCTTGGCTCTCGTCCTACCTATCACAACGCTCCTTCAGCGTTATCTATAATGCTACCACCTCCCCCCTCTCTCCCCCTCTCTGTTGGGGTCCCCCAAGGCTCGGTCCTCGGGCCCCTTCTCTTCTCAATCTACACCTCCTCCCTCGGCAAACTGATACACTCCCACGGCTTCAACTATCACCTCTACGCCGATGACACACAAATTTACCTCTCCACCTGTCAAGGCTCCCGGGTATGACCAGAGGTATGTGACTGACACAGGGAAACACAGACTTCAAATATGTTATAAACAATGTAATTTATTAACACTAACCATACAAACATAAACGCAGTGCAATACTAAAACATAACACAGTGCAAACAAACCAAACCAACCACCCACAGATAACAGTACATACAATGCAAGCGTCGTCAGGCAGGCCGGGTCAATATCAATCGGGCAGGTAGGTACAGGGGGAGCAAGCGGAGAATGGTCGGGGTCACAAGCCAGGTTCAGCAGGTAGCGGGCAGCGTGGTACAGAGGGTCAGGCAGAGGAGAATGGTCAGACAAGCCAGGGATCAGGAGCAGGAGAATGGTCAGACAAGCCAGGGATCAGAGCAGGGTCAGCAGAAATCAGACAGGAACAGGGAGCAGGAACAGGATACAGGGCCCAGGAGAAACACACACCAAGGCAGAGTCTGCAGGTCTGAATGTCCCTTAAATACACCAGTATAATTAGTTCCAGGTGTTTGACTGGCTGCAAGGTTGAGTCTCTGATTGCTGGGAGCACCCGCTGGCCAGCCCTGGTACTGCAGCTCATAAGGCAGGTGAGTCCACACTATTGCTGGCCAGACCATTCCTGACAGAAACCCCCCCCTCAAGGAGCGGCCTCAGGACGCTCCAAACAGTCCTAGCTGGGCAAAATGTTCCACCGCCCGGGTCTGGTAACTGGCAGGATATCAAAGACTGGCACACTGGGCAGGACTCTGGGCAGCGGCACACCGGGCAGGACTCCGGGCAGCGGCACACCGGGCAGGGGCACACCGGGCAGAGGCACACCGGGCAGAGGCACAACGGGCAGAGGCACATCGGGCTGGACTCCGGGCAGAGGCACATCGGGCTGGACTCTGGGCAGAGGCACATCGGGCTGGACTCCGGGCAGAGGCACATCGGGCGGACTCCGGGCAGAGGCACATCGAGCCGGACTCCGGGCAGTGGCACATCGGGCCGGACTCCGGGCAGAGGCACATCGGGCTGGACTCCGGGCAGAGGCACTACAGGGGCAGCGGCACACCGGGCAGAGGCACATCGGGCCGGACTCGGGCAGAGGCACATCGGGCTGGACTCCGGGCAGAGGCACTCCGGGCAGCGGCACACCGGGCAGGACTCCGGGCCGGGCAGCGGCACACCGGGCAGGGGCACACCGGGCAGGGGCACACCGGGCAGAGGCACACCGGGCAGAGGCACAACGGGCAGAGGCACATCGGGCCGGACTCCGGGCAGAGGCACATCGGGCCGGACTCCGGGCAGAGGCACATCGGGCCGGACTCCGGGCAGAGGCACATCGGGCCGGACTCCGGGCAGAGGCACATCGGGCCGGACTCCGGGCAGAGGCACATCGGGCCGGACTCCGGGCAGAGGCACATCGGGCCGGACTCCGGGCAGAGGCACATCGGGCTGGACTCCGGGCAGAGGCACTCCGGGCAGCGGCACACCGGGCAGAGGCACATCGGGCCGGACTCCGGGCAGAGGCACATCGGGCTGGACTCCGGGCAGAGGCACTCCGGGCAGTGGCACACCGGGCAGAGGCACATCGGGCCGGACTCCGGGCAGAGGCACATCGGGCCGGACTCCGGGCAGAGGCACATCGGGCCGGACTCCGGGCAGAGGCACATCGGGCCGGACTCCAGGCAGAGGCACATCGGGCTGGACTCGGGCAGAGGCACATCGGGCTGGGACTCCGGGCAGAGGCACATCGGATTACCAGGCGAAGCAGCAGGCACCGGGCCACCGGGCGGAGCAGCAGGCACCGGGCCACCGGGCGGAGCAGCAGGCATCGGGCCCCCAGGCGGGACGACAGGCATCGGGCCCCCAGGCGGGGCGACAGGCATCGGGCCCCCAGGCGGGGCGACAGGCACCGGGCCCCCCGGCGGGGCGACAGGCATCGGGCCCCCAAGCAAAGCGGCGGGCGCCGGGGCCCCAGGAGGGGCAACAGGCATCGGCCCCCAGGCGGGGCGCGACAGGCATCGGGCCCCCAGGAGGGGCGACAGGCATCGGGCCCCGGCAGGCGGGGCGACAGGCATCGGGCCCCCGGGCACTGGGCTGGCGACAGGCATCGGGCCCCCAGCGGGAGCGGGCGCCGGACCCCCAGGCGGAGCGACAGGTCTCGGGCTCCCCCAGAGCGGCGGGGCGGACCCAGCAGGTGGTGGAGGACAGGTCTCACCCCCCCATGGCGGAGCGGCGGGGCGCCGGACCCCCCAGGCGGAGCGACAGGTCTCGGGCCCCCAGGCGGAGCGGCGGGCGCCGGACCCCAGGCGGAGCGACAGGTCTTAGGCCAAAGGTCGGAGCGGCAAGGCGCTCGGGCCCAGGAGGAGCCAGGCGGCCGGGACGGCGGGGGACATGGCGGTGCGCCAACTGGCGGCAGGCGACATGAGGCGCGCGGGCCGGGCGACAGGTCTCGGGCCCCCAGGCGGAGCAGCGGCCAGGACCCCCTGCGGGTCCCCGAGGCGTGAGGCACGGGGTGCAGGCGCTCGGGCCATACACTGGCGGACGGCGGGCACCGAGTCGTCTGGCAAGACTGCCGGCAGGCGGTTCGTTTTCTGGCAAGACTGCGGGCGCCGAGTCCAACTGGCAAGACATGCGGGCTTCGAGTCGTCTGGCAAGGCTGCGGGCCGAGTCGTCTGGCAAGACTGCGGGCCCAGGAGTCGTCTGCAAGCTGGGGTCACCGAGTCGTCTGGCAAGACTGCGGGCACCGAGTCGTCTGCGAAGACAGCGGGCACCGGCGTCATTGCGGGCTTCGAGTCGTCTGGCAAGACTGCGGGCACCGAGTCGTCTGGCAAGACTGCGGGCACCGAGTCGTCTGGCAGATGCGGGACCGAGTGCTCTGGCAAGACTGCGGGCACCGAGTCATTCTGGCAAGACTGCGGAACAGCGGGCACCGAGTCGTACTGGCGGAACAGCGGGCACCGAGTCGTCCTGGCAAGACTGCGGGCACCGAGTCAACTGGCAGAACACGGGCGGCCGAGTCACCGAGTCGTCTGGCAAGACGCGGGCGGGCACCGAGTCGTCTGGCGAAGACTGCGGGCACCGAGTCGTCTGGCGGAGACAGCGGCACTTCGAGTCGTCTGGCAAGACAGCGGGCAACCCGAGTCGTCTGGCAAGACTGCGGGCACCGAGTCGTCTGGCAAGACTGCGGGCACCGAGTCGTCTGGCAAACTGCGGGCACCGAGTCGTCTGGCAAACTGCGGGCATCGAGTCGTCAAAATGTTGGAACTTCGGCTCACCGAGTGCGACTTCTGGCAAGACTAGCGGGCATCCGCAGTCGTCTGGCGGGACTCGGGCGGGCACCGAGTCATCAGCATCGGATTGTCTGGCTCGACAGCGGGCATCGGGTCACCAGGTATGACATGGCGGGCACTGGGTCACCAGGCATCAGGTCATTTGGCTTGCCAGCGGGCACCGCGTCATCTGGCAAGGCAGTGGGCACCGGGTCACCAGTATGACAGCCGGGCTCTGAGTCAATTGGCACGACAGCGGGCACCCGTGATCAGGTACCGGATCATCTGGATCAACAGCGGGCATCGAGTCAACTGGCCTATAGGCACCGTCGAGCTGGATCAGTTCATCATGCTGAGTAGGCATCAGGCTGAATGCAGGCATCAGGCTGAGTACAGGCTTCAGGCTGAGTATCAGGCATCAGCTCGAGTAGAGGCTTGCAGGCTGAGTAGAGGCTCGCCCCCCGGAGTCAGAGGCTTCATCAGCTGATGAAGAGGCATCAGGCTGAGTAAGCAGCGCATCAGGCTGAGTAAGAGGCATCAGGCTGAGTAGAGGCATCCGGCTGAGTAAGAGGCATCAGGCTGAGTAGAGGCATCAGGCTGAGTAGAGGCATCAGGCTGAGTAGAGGCATCAGGCTGAGTAGAGGCATCAGGCTGAGTAGAGGCATCAGGCTGAGTAGAGGCATCAGGCTGAGTAGAGGCTTCAGGCTGAGTAGAGGGCTTCAGGCTGAGTCAAGTATTGGCTTCAGGCTGAGTAGCAAGCTTCAGCTGAGTAAGGCATCAGGCTGCGTAGAGGCTTCAGGCTGAGTAGAGGCTTCAGGCTGATAATCAGAGCTTGCAGGCTGAGTAGAGGCTTTTCAGGCTGAGTAGAGGCATCTTTCAGGGCTGAGTACAAGGCTTCAGGCTGAGTAGAGGCTTCCAGGCTGAGTAGAGGCTTCAGGCTGAGCTAGAGGCTTCAGGCTGTAGTAGAGGCTTCTGCTAGTAAGAGCTTCCGGCTGAGTCACGGGAAGGCAGTTTGTCACCGGATTTGGATACTGGCAGGATGGTATTGGTTGGAAAGAATTTTCGCTTTTTTCTCTGGTTTTAACTACTGGAGCACTGCAAGTAAACGCAGGTCCTGCAAACGAATGGAGCAGCTGGAGACAGAGAAAAACTGGAGGATGGAAACAGGAGAGGGAGCAGTTGCTACAGAGGGCTTTTTTACAGGGTTAAAGGCAGGATAGGTGCAGCGAGTGGGAACAGTTGGGACTGACATGCGGTAGATAGCCAAGTAGTACTGGGCTGTAACGGGAGGAGCTGGTGGGAAATACAGGAGTAGAGGTTAGAAGCAATAAGGACTGGGTGTTTTGTAAGCTGACTGATGGCTGTGGGCTGTGCCAACAAGTCCTGTCCATGTCCTGCAGTATGGGTTGAACAAAGCTGAGCTTACACAAAGCCTGTCTGTCAAAGACTGCACTGCGTTTTATACAATCTCTTAGTGTCTGTCTGTGAACATGTGGAATGACACGCTCCAAGAAGTAACACCACATCATCCTCGTAATAACCACACCAGGGGACTCTACCTGGTCTGCACTAAAGGTGGCAAAAATTCATCCCTGCATTCGGCCTCGAGATGGGAACCAGATGAAACCAACTAGCTCAGCACTTAAACCTCAATCAAAGGCTTGCTACCTCAGAGAACTCTGTGCCTATAACCTGATCTACTAGAAAACCATGACGGCGAAAAAGCCGTATACATTCTTAGTAGTTGATCCCGCGGTATACTCCTTCAGAGTTTGATAAGCATTATTCCCTGTCATCAAACACAAGTAAACCAGCATATAAATACACAACCTCATCCTAGATTCCATCCCTTACCATCAACAAGCCAGATGTGCTTCCCTGTGCAGCCACTTCTGGTCAGGATTGCGACATTGGTGTAAGTGGATCTGTCAGGGCTCCCGGGTGTGACCATAGGTTCTCTGTGACTGACGCAGGGAAACAGCAGACTTCAGATATGCTGCTATAAACAATATAATTTATCTAACACAATAACAATACAAACATAAACGCAGTGCAAAATACTAAAACATAACACAGTGCAACCAACAAACCAAACCAAACCAACCACCCACAGATAACATACATACAAGCAAGCGTCTCCGTCAGGCAGGCCGGGTCAATATCAATAGGGCAGGTAGGTACAGGGGAGCAAGCGGAAGAATGGGTCGGGGTCACAAGGCCAGGTTCAGCAGGTAGCAAGCAGCGTTAGTACAGAGGGTAAAGGCAGGGATGGTCGAACATAGTCACAATGGTGAATCAGAACAGAGCAAGCCAGCGTGGTACAGGATAGTCAGGAGAGGATGGTCAGACAAGCCACGGGATCAGAGGCAGAGGTCAGCGAGAGAATCCAGAACCAGGATACAGAGAGCAGGCACAGTATACAGGGCCCAAACACACAACACCATGGCAGATGTCGTGGGCCTGGCCCATCCCTAAGGGCGGGCAGGGCGAGGGGGGGGAGATCAGAAGCGGGGGGCGTTCTCCACACCATTTGCATGCCATCCCAGAGTCCATGACAGTGTGTGTCTCCAGCACAGTCTAAATAGCATGGAGGAGATTCCAGGGAGACAGGCAGTTCCTCTAGGAGAGCGGGGACAGCCGTAGAAAGTCCTAAACCCATCGATCAGAGACTGGTATCTAAATCCCTTTGTGCAATAGCGAGGAACAAGATGAGCACGCCAGAAGCCCTACAAATCGACCTCACAGCAGCCACTGGTGTGAATGTCTCTGACCAAACAATCAAATAACAGACTTCATGAGTGGTGGCCTAGGCCCAGCATCCATCTATGGGCCCTGTCGGGGGGGGGGGGAGGGGGGGGGGGGGGGGGGGGCTCACTCGACTGGCAACCATAGAGCGGATTGGCATTTGCCAGTGAACTCCAGAATTGGCAGGTCCATCCGGACGCCCACCTGCTCGGCTATTTGTCAACAGAGTGAAAGCAGGTTTCACCCTGAGCAACGGGAGCAGTGATGGCGCGGAGTAAAAAACGTTGATAAGACTCTGAGGAAGCCCGTGAAGAATGTTCTGCTAATATAGCCTGGAACATGTACAGCATGACATCTTTGGTGAGTGGTCATTGATGGTCCTGTGGAAGGCTTATCCATGGAGGTACGCACAGACCAATACAGGTTAGACAATGGCACACCTGACCGCGGCGATTGGAAGGCGGGGGTTGAGAGCGCGGCAGGGGTTCTCTGAGCCACTTGATGTATCGTCATGAAGGGTGAAGCTCACCCATAAATTGACAAAATCACGCAAGGGCTCAATGACCAACA